AAAAGAAATCCCTTGAGCCACGACCATTGGAACCATTTGAGTATTCACTCGCTTGCATCGTACCAGATGGCCAGGTCGAGTTAGCCCTTGATGATGGCCACCATTTGAAGTTTTACCTCAAGAGCAATGTGGATCCGCTCTTGGAGGTACCTTTTCGTGAACCACTATGAGTATTCACCATCTACGTCCAGCTAAAAGACGGTAAAAAGCGCTCGTGGGGAGGCAACCCTAGCACGCTTTGCATTTTTTCCCTTTTTCTTTTGATTTTTGGTATTTGAGTCGTTGTATCTATTTTGAATATGTCTGGAACCTCTTTATGACCCTGGGTGGCATATTTCCGTCTGTGGTTGTGTGGTTTTTGGAGCCAGGGCACGACTGGGGGTTGATTATTTGAAATTGTAGTGTCGAGTTAAAGCAGACCTGGCCGCAACAAAATAAACACGAACACAGGGAGGCAAAACACGATCGTGTTTGAAATCCCTCTTTAGTCCCTAATATGTTCTGCGCTTGACAAAAAAAACTACGGGCACTTAGCCAAGAAACACGAACGTGTTTATGTCCGCCTCGTGCATCCTTGGATTTTTCTTTTCTTTTTGATTGTGAGCTTGGAACTATGGTTTGCTTTGCCTATCACCTGGTGTGTTTTTGATGTTCTAGGTTTGTGCCTTCAGATTGGTTCCCTTCCAGTCTCGTATTGCTTGCTCAGTCCACTCTCCAGCCGCCGCCTACAATCATCAGTCCTCAGTAACATCCTTCCCCTTATCCTTCCCTATATTACATTGAGGGAAATGTCGAACTTAAGTGTGTGGGGTTGTTTAGTGCTTATCATGGTTTTCCCTTGACTGTTTGGATATGTTTGTATGTTTGGAGCCTAGTCCACTGTTCAAATTTTTCTATTTGGGAGCTCCAAGTACTTGTTCCTTGCAATTGCCTTCCCATATTTAAATTGGCAGATTCAAGTCATAAGGAGGGGATTTGACTTTTGAGAGCAAAAACATAGTTTTAGAGAGAGCAAGTGACAAAGAACAAGACCTAGGAGATATTGGAGCTGATTTATCATCACTGAAGCCTGGATTTCGTTCCAATGAGTGAAGATTGTCATCCTAGACCAGATTACACCCATCTCCATGAGTATGACTGCTTTGTATTTGGTTTTCCTCTCTCTCTCTCTCTCTCTATGGAGTAAACCTCCATCTCTCTATGTGGATCTTGCTTATAATGACCTTTGAATGCTATACTGGTTGGTTTTATTCAATTGAAGCATGTTTGTAGAGTCAATTGAATCTTGATCACATTCTCTTGATATTTGCTTTGACCTATGATAGATAGAATCTGATTAGGGTTAAGAGAGCTTCTTCGGTTGATAGTGAATTGCAAGTTGGGGAGATCTATGTGAATTGCCTTAGCATTCTATTCCGATGAAGGTTAGTCGCCTGCTGAGTATTTTGTCTAAGAGGGCTTGGTCAACTTAATAGATTTCAAACTATTTTCAAATCTTTCGTAGTTTAATCAACAGTAGTGGAGTAATACAACTTGTAGGGGTTGTGGTTGGTTTGATGTACCCATCGGCCATTTACTTAATGATTTGGTTTATCTTATGCTGGTATTATTTATCATAGTTCCTTTCATTATTTGCCTCAAAGTGCTTCATGCTTTTCAATATTATTGTTTTGTTGAGTACTTTATCGTTTTTTTTTGTCAATATTATTGTTTTGTTGAGTACTTTTTTTTGTCACAAATTGCTTTGTTCTAGTTATATATTATGATAACCAGGGTAATTAGATGACCGATTATAATTGAATTTGATTGTGAACCATTAAAGTGATAGTTCCCCTCCCTGAATTTGATACTTTTTCTTTTTAAGGTTATCGGTTAAACATGTTACTTGACAAGGATATCCAAAGGTTTTCATTTGGCGAGTTCATGGTTAAATTTTGCAACGGTATCGTTGTTCAACCAAATGAGTAAGTTAATTGGTTGTTCACTTGTGTAATATTTGAATTATATTTGGTATTTTATTTATTCACAATGAACATTAATTATTTGTTTTGTCATAAATTTGATTGTGGAGTAGTTGTTATCAAATATATGTTTGACCCATATGGATATTCCAACAAGCACTACCCTTTCGACCGTGAATATTAACGAGCAAAAATTGCTTTGTACTTGCTCTCAACACCTACCAATGAGGTCAAAGATGTGCACAAATAGATGAATATTTTAAGTCCATTTGAACCTACGCGAATTGCACCTAAGAAGTTGAACTTTAGACAAAGCTTAGTAAAAAGAGAAAGTAAGTCGTTGCACACTTTTGGGGAGAAAAAGGCTTCACATACAAGGAGTAAGAAATATTGAGAAATCGTGGTTGATTTTCTTCATGTAGTTACAGCTTTACAAGGACTCGAAAGCCTAAAGACATTGCTTTTTGTGATGCTGTCAATTCTGCTTTTGTATTAGTGAAATTGATAAAGAAGAATGTAGCTTACTAAAATGTATATAGTACAAATAAGCAATGAAGGAAGATAATTTTATGTGATGCTCTCAGTTTCACTACAGTTTTAGTGAAATTCTTGCTGTAATTTGAATCAATTTTTTTTCCTACAAAATCCTTGCCCATGGGCATCTCATGACCAATAGTGTCGAATCTTATGGTCGCGAGGGTCGCTTGTGAAAGAAAGGGGATTGTCTTAAAAACACCTAATCCTCATCACGGTTAGGAGTGCCAATATCGCGTCCATGAGATATGGACATGAAACGAGAGATCATTTTCCCCCTTAAAAGGGTAAAACAATGAAAATCTTCCACTTGGATCAAACTCGAGTCATCTGATTGATGAATTTTTGGAAAACCCCCCTTGTGTATCTCACGGTCACTGGTACCTAATATCATGGCCCTGAGGGTCTGTTGAAATGACCGGGAAGGCCAAAACATCCCATTAACCCATAAGGCCAAGAGTTACCAATCTCAAGCTCGTTAGACGTTGACGCTAAATGCGATAGCGATTAGCAGAAAAGGTTAGAAATAAAATGCTTACACATGGATCGAAATCGGATCATGTGATTTTTCAGCTTCGTGGAAAAACCTGCCCTGCTTATCTCACGACCGGTAGTGCCTAATCGCACGCTCATGAGGGATTGGCAAACATCCCAATACCCCTCACAACAAGAGTTTCCAATCGCACGCCCGTGATATGTGGATGTGAAATGCAAGAGGGTTTTCCTGAAATGGGTGAAAAATAAAATGCTTACATATGGATTGAACTCGAGTCTATCATATGATAATAAGATCTGAAACAAAAGAGACTATCTTGAGAGGTTGTTTTTAGTTAATTTTTTTATATGACTCATACATTTCATTGTAGATATTAAACTTTTCAACACCCTTGAGATGCAGATGTTGTCACCTACTCTTCGAAGCTCCATATCTCCTTTATTTCCCTAAATTTACGTCGTTTAGTCACCCTAAAGTTGGTTAAAGCACATTATTATTTCATCTTCTTAAGTTTTCATGCCTCTCTTAGCTCACCCTTAAACCCTTTCAAAGGTAGTTGTGATCGAACCACACCCCAAACTAGAATCGCTTTTAGTGTCCCAAGTCAATATCAAACTGTCGGCTCAATCAAATGGGGTTAAAATGTTTTTGTTGCTTTGCATATGGACTATGAAAAACCGTTATAGGTATCAAATTAATGAGAGTAATGATTCAATGAACTATAATGTGGGCCCAATAAAAAAGTTGCTTAACAAGGAATAAACATTATAAATACATGATTCGGTTGTACCGATTTAATCATTAATACATGTGATTTACTATTACGATACAATATCACAATCACCGACATATATATACATACACACCAACGTATTGTTAGAAATTAGTTTCCTCTAATAGTTAGAAATTAGTTTCCTCTAACAATCCTTCCCTCAAGATTGGTCTTCTTTCTTCTCGCGTCCTTCTCCTCCTTAACTTTGTTGGCCGCTAAATCCTCTGCTTCATCTTCCCAGTTTCCCACCAGCAACATCAGATACCCCTTGGCACACTGGTGGCCCACTGTGTACTGCTTATCACAGTTGAAGCAGCATCCCTCCCTGCGCTTGTGCTCCATCTCTGTTGGTGTTAGCTTCATGAACCCCTTTTCCAGCAACCGAGCTGGGATTCAACCTCCCTATGGAAAAACGGTGCTTACCATGTTTGTATCTCCTGGCTCCAGCACAGTCGCTAGTCTAGGCCCTGTGCCTCCGTTCTTTCCTCCGGCCGAAACTCCTGTCATTCTTGTCACTCGTCTTGCGCCTCCCTTCCAACGGGAAAGCTCCTCTTCTTTATGACCTGCAAGCCTAAAGAGAACTCGCAGAGAGTCAAGTTCAAACACCTTTAGCGCTACCGCAAACTATGGTCGTAGTCCTGCCATGCACAGCCCTACCAACATCTCTTCCCCCGTTTCTAGCACTAGTTGCCCAGTTTCAGGAACTCCGATCGGTACTCTATGATAGTACCCGTCTGCTTCAACTTGGCTAGTTGCTTCGGTGCCCATCCGTCTGTCTTTCCGAACTGGTACTTGAGCTCCTCATGGAATTTCGGCCAGGTGATCATAGTTCCAGCTGCAGCATATGACCTCTCCATCCATTCCCACCACTATAGTGAATCCCCTTCCAGATAAAAGGATGCCAGTGTGGCCTTCCATTCTTCCAGTGTCGAGTGGTTCCTGAAGCACCTCTCAACAGCATACAACCATAATCTCATATCTCCATGATCATTAAACTTGGGTAACTCAATAACAGGCGGTTTAATACGAAATACTAGGTCATCATTACCTTCATACATGGGGCTATATCCCCCATACTTGCCCATGCTTAAGTGCGGGAATCCATGCCTTCCACTTCTGTCTAGTCCGAAGTCGCCCCAAGGGTACGGTGGAAAGGACCATCCATCATCTCCATCCACCCTACTTTTATCATAGCCCGCCAGGCTTATATCCTCATCTTGTCGATCACAGTTCAGGCCTAGCTGGCCCATCCCCCTTCTGACTTGTGTCCGCCCCACCCTGTTTCCATGGGCTCCATTCCGTACTCGCAGCCAGACAACTCGTAACTCGACATTTTCCCTTTTCTTCGGGTCGCCACAATTTCTTGGGCCATGGGCCTTGGAAGCAGACTCGTTCCCATGGCGGACCAACTAGGGTTTCCCATGCCCGTCCCACGACCTTCCTTAGCCTCCCCTATCGCCTCGGTCGACACCACCGCTGTGGAAATCCTCTCATCTCTACCACCGTCTCGGCTCCCCGTGTCGTTGCTGTAGCCCATGTGGCTGCCGTCTCAGCCGCTCCACCGTCACCCACTGTTGGGTTTGTCGGCACCGCCGTCTCTAGCGCCCGCATCGTCACCGCCGTCGCAGCCTGCTACTGTGGTTCTTCAGTTTGGTGCTCTACCATCTTTTCCAACATCTTCTCCATCATGGTGAGGAACTTGCCCAGCTCTGCCCCGATCCGTTGGGAGGAATCCTCGAGACGCGCTCCGACGGTTTTCAACTGATCGCGTGCCTCCATCTGGTTGTCTGTGATCTTGTTCATGAATCCCTGTAGCACCTCGTAATTGGTATAATCCTTCACGACAAAGGTCTCATTTTGTGTCTTCTACGATTTATCAGTTGATGCCAACATCTTCTCCGAACCCCACGCCAACAAGGCTCTAATACCACTGTTAGAAACCTTGATCTAGGTGCGTACGTCTCGGGTTCGCAGAACTGGAAATTGCAATGTAATTATGGATGATATAGGATTTTGGGATTGGAAATACAAGGATTGGGAATGGAGGATTTGAGATTACAGGAAGGAAGCAACAAGGTGTCTCCCCTAGGGTAGGGGTCGACGACAACAAAGGAGAAGAGAGAGGGAGTTGGCCGAGTTTGAGAGGGAGAGAGAGGGTGATTAGGTTTAGGGAATTATGTTCCATAATTGTTTAATCCCACTAATCCCACGATTATAGAATATATAACCCGATCAATTCCCTATAACTACCCAAACATTACCGAATAACCCTTTACCCCCAATAATCTGAAAAAATGCCCAAAATAACATCCAAATTCCTCAAACAATAATAAACCGACAAATAAGTCCAAGACCCCAAAATAGTTAGAAATTGGGTTTCTAACACTTTCCCCGGGTAGGGACACATACACCTCAAAATCAACTTTGACGGGCGAGTCTTATTCCAACTGTTGCCTCTGATTGTGCTTCAATGAGTTAGGTTCATAGATTTTATTACGTCGTGACTTTTGTGATCGTTTTCAAATGAATAATGTCATAGAAAGGGCAATTCAAGGGTTGTAATTTCATAGATTAATGAGGAGAAAGTATCATGTGTAGTGAGTGCATGGTGTCATTTTACAAATAGTATAGAGTATTTAATTTCATCTCCATTATTTTATTGAATCATTACTTATATGTCAAGTACTCCATAGAACTAGTTATCCATAGACATTTGAGCTTTCTTCTCTATCTCAATCCATCGAAATATTGATCTTTAACAAGAAAAAAAAATACATGAAAGCATATTTCAAGTCTCTAATTGATTAGGGCTAAATTAAATTTTTTTTATATTAAAGCACCAATCTTTTTATGCATATTGATTAGTCCGCAAACCATTATCAAGAAAAGGGTTTCATAGTTTTCACATGGTGAAACTCTCTCTCTCCTTTTTTCTCTCTCTAAGCTGTTAGCATTTTCTTTTATCAGTTTTCTCGCGACGGTCCTCTTCTTCGATATCCTTTTTCGGTGAGTGCCTCCTACACCCGAGTCAGGCTGCGGAGCTCCTCTCCGTAAATGTTATCACTTTTATTTTCTTCTTCTCTTTGTGTTTCATTTCTTCACCATGATAGAGGGCTCAGTGGAGCAATCTTGGGCTAATCTCTTTGGGATCGCGGAAGCAAACAGGCTGGTCTACATCCCTCTGGAAATTGTTGATTGAGAAAGGGGTCTCTCACTGGAATAATTGCCTGGTAGGGCAATTTCTGCACTCATCCCCGCATATTCGCCAACTCCGGACCTGGGCGAACAAATTGTGGGGAAAAGACGGGAGAATTAGGGTTTCCTGGCTCATTGATCGTCTTATTGTGGTTCACTTCCCAACAGAGGCCTCTGCAAATTGGGTATTCACCAGCGGCCCCTGGAATTTCATGGACGACATGTGTTTTCTTCGCAAGTGGGCTCCTGGCAACCGAGGGGTGAGTTGTAGTTCGGTGATTCCAATTTGGGTCTACTTTAAGGACATGCCAGTGGAATATGGCACGAGGAGGGTTCTTACATGACTAGCTAGTATGATTGGGACTCCTCTTTGGTTCGATCAGTCTACACGTTTAGGTCGGTGAATGGGATTTCCCAAAGTTTGTGTTGATATAAGCATTGATTCTAGTTTTCCTGAAACTCTAAAGTTGGTGCCAGACCACAAACCAACATTTTTTGTGGATGTTGAGTATTGTAACCGGCCTAGGGGTTGCAGGAAATGTAGAGTTTTTGGACATGAATGTGAGGATATCCCAGAAGTGGTAGAGGAGGTGGCAGGAAACTCAGTACAGGATAAGGAGGAGGCTGAAGTTGATCCAATGTTGGGGGAAGCTTCTCTGGTGGGAATTTCGAGCAGGGTTTTAGGTTTGGCAAAAGAGGTTGCGACTTCTGGAATGTTAGAAGGGGCATGTAGGAACCTTGATAGGGCTGTTGCAAACCTAGTCTCTTTTGGAGCCTAGGCAGGACCCTAGCACATCATCTTCGGGGCCTCGTCAGTTTGTGTCTGATCCTATTATTCAGTTGCCTTCGGATAAAGAGTTTCAGAATGTGATTGTGGGTAAGGGAAGTTCAGAAACAACAACACCAATCCAAACAAGTTTCAAGCTCTAGAGATGACAAACTAGTTTGCCATAGGAACCTATTCTGTAAAGACAGTTTGGGAACCATTAGACCAAAGCAAGCTCAAGTGCCCTGGTACGATTTGGTTTGGAAATCAGGGTGTCCTCATCGTGACCAGTGGATAGTGTGGCTAATCCTTCATAATAGGAGCACTACTTTGGATAAAGTGCAAAGGTGGAACTCATCTGTTCATAATATTTTTCCTCTTTGTTGTTGTGCAGCTGAGTCTGTAGACCATCTTTTCTTCTCCTGTTCTTTCACTACTGAGTTTCTGAAGTCAGTGCTTAAGTCCTTGTATGTGGCCGCTGGGAACTGGTCCACTTCTCTATCAAGGGTAGTGTCTCGGTTTAAGGCAGATAGCCTGATCTGGCATAGGGTTCGGCTGCTTTGGATGTTTGCTGTCAGCGAACTATGGTGTGAACGATGTCGAAAACTATATGGTGGAACCAACCTTAGTGTTGGGCAGCTGCTGGAGAAAGTTAGGAAGTTTTTGATCTTGTTAAAAGCCTGTAATGTTCAGGTGGCAACTTGTGTGTCTGATCATGATATTAGTTGCTTAGTGTGAGTTGTGTTTACTGTAATGCTAGTAGTATAGTGAAAATGTTCTAGCTGCTAGGTTTGTATAGTGGTGATGTATATGTGTGGATTGTGGTACCAGTTAGGGTAGCTTTCTGCTGCTCTCACTTGATGAATAAAAATGCTTATTCATGGAAAAAAGGAAAAAAAGGGTTTCATAAAAAAAGAAGTGCATTTATTCCATAAAAAAGTACATATCCATATATTAATTTTATTGGTCCTCATTCTACATGCTACACATGCATTGTTAGAAATTTATCGTTTAGATACTAACACCTTCATTTCTCAATGAAATAACTAGGACACTTTTATAAACTATTTTGAACTAATACTAGCATTGATTGAAGATACGATAAATAAATGTTGGTTGATTTGGTAAAACTCATATGATCATATATAGCCTCAAAGGGGTGTTTTATTAAACCCATTGGTGTTTGTGCACCCACCTTGTACCCGCCTTTTATGTTATATGCAATATTCCCTATCTCAAAATGTGAAATTAAGCTGATAAGCACTAGATCAAATGATTTCGTCCTTGGTTTTAAATTTAGAGATCCAATGTTCAAATCTCGACGATAGTTTTACTAGTGCTTACTGCTTATAGGAAATTTTCAATGGAAGGCGCTTCATTATCGACAAGTACTTAATTTCCATGAGGTATTATTTACTTTTGACCCCACCTCGTAATTACAGGACATAACACTTTAGACCCTACCCGATACATTCCTTCCTCAATGAGATATCCAATGCACGTTGCGTCAATGTTTGTAATTTGAGACCAAATGATCATTATGGTTCTTCACATCTTCAACATTCTTTGTTGTTGTTCCTTTACCTAACAACATATTAAAAAATTATCAATATCAACTCTAGTATTTTGTGTGAGAACCATGCATCGATCCAACTTGATAAGTTCCAAAATTGAAGTTTAAGAACATTCATTACCTGAAACTGCAACGGGTGGCAAAGGCAAATTGTTTTTATGTAAGGACTTGGGAGGTCGCCGAAGGAGTGGAGGATTAATGATTGGATGTGGGGCACTTGGAGGAATACGCTTGTAAAGCGGTTTGGTGGTACTTGAGTCCTCATAACTGGTCTTTTGGCTTACTACTACTGCACTACCATTCGTGAGTAGTGACAGGAATATAACTAGCAGCAACATTTTTCTTGAGTGATGATCCATGCGTGCAGTAAAAAGATAATCAGTGGATAAAATCAAAATGAGTGTTGTTGGTTTGCTTTATGGGTTTGAGGAATTATATATATGATGTTTTGAGATTATATATGCGGTACAAATAATGTCCAGCTACTACGTAATGATTCAAATAGTTGTTGGTTTGATATACGTTTTGGATATGGATTTTATGGCAGTTTCCTATTCTATAGCTACCACCATGATATATATATTTTCATTTACCTCCTTTTTCATTCGCCATTTGTGAATGGTCTTTAATTTTTTTTCTATAACTTCATTCGTAAGCACATGTCATACTAGTTTCCTTGCACATTTCATACTAGTTTCCTTGTAGTGGTATACCAAATTCTCATAATATTAATAAAAAATCATATTTGTCCTTTTTTGCTAGGGATATACCAAAATGTTTAGTTTCATAAAAAAAAATAAGAAAGATATACTACAATATTCCAATTATGTAAAATCATATCGATCATTTGTGCTAGTGAGATGCACCAAATTATCATAATGAATTTACAATCATGCCCTTTTAACAATTAGGGATACTAGAACAATATAAATTTACCTGTTTTTGGGATATGAAATTTTGAAATTAGTGGATTTTTTTTACATAAATGAACTATGAAGATGCGATATGAATGTTATGAAGATTTGTTTCCATTTTACCAAACTTAATTAAGAAAAAATTTACACAATATCACATGTGATATGATTTAATATCCATTCGCTAGAGACCCAAACCAGTTTACCAAATCATGATCAACTAAATAAATCTAGATAAATCGTGACCAACTCAGTGTTTGTGTCTTACATACGTCAATACTTCAAACGACCTTAATTTTGAACTCGGTTATCCAATCAATGTAAATATTTTTTTATTTCGCATATTATACTTATATGCTGTCACACTTCACATTAAGGAGCTATAATATTACGGTTGACCACGCAGGGTATTGCTACTTGTTGGTGTCGCCATAAGAGTCTGAGAAGACAGGAGCTAGCACCTTTCACCTGCACCATACACTCTCTTGCACTTCATTCCTTTGCGTTCCACATCTCTACATTATGCCTCGTCAAAATGTGGGACCATCATTATGTTTTTCTTCATCTCTTCCTTCCCTGACTCCACTAATGTACCTGGAAAATTGATTCATTCCTAACTGCACAATTAATTCCCAACTATAGCCCAAGTGAAAACTCTAGAGGGGTGTAGTATAGGGCAAGCGTTTTAATTGTCAACCCAAGGTGGTCCATGTACTCCTACTTCAATCGCTTAAATTATTGTCTAGCTAACGATTTGGAGTTTAAAAGCTAAAGAACTACATTTGTAAATAGCAAAAACAGTAAATTGATGTTGTTTCAATAAGAGAAGAATTCACCCGGCTATTGCTCCCCCTAGCCATGTATCAAGATTGACCGAATGGAATGCAAATGTGTAAAGGCGTGCTCATACACGGTAAGGAGGTTGCAACTAGTCGAGAAACTCCAATATCTCGTACAATAGGATAAGGAAAATCAAATTAAGCAAGGAAACTAGCTCTCTTGGCCAATCGACTAAGGGTCGCTAAGTGAGAAGGATAACTACTCCATATCTAGGCTAGGGATTACAACAAAGAGGAGAGAAAGAACCATGGTGGGATGTTTGTCTTCCTTCCTTGTTGTTGAAAACACCCTTGAGAGATGAAAAATTTCATTCCTTTAGCTTTGAGAAAACCCTAATCCTTTTTGGTAGGTGGCAGACATAGCATGAGACTCAAAGTTTCAACCTAAAACCAACAGAAGGTTCTACAGCTTTGACTATAACCTTCTTCTACAAGCAACGACCACTAACATCGGCCAAAAACACACTTCTCACGACTCCAAACCACAACCAATCATGAACAACATTTGAAGCACACTTTCTTTGCTACACCTGCTATTTAATCTTTCAAGCACAAGAGTGAAGGAGGTAAACAACATGTATGTGTCTCAATGACTTGACTGCCAAGAAACATCTTTCTAGAGCATAAACAATATTTATTTGCCCCCATTTATTGCCTTCCTTTTCTTTTCATTTTCTTCCTTTCCTTTTGTTTCTCTTTTATTTTTCTTGGGGGGTATTAGAGAGATAGAAACACACGCCACTTTCTTTAAAATTTTAAACACATGCTCACTTGTTAAGCACTACCTCCAACCAATGCTGTCAACATCGTGCTTTAAAACTTAAAAGCTTACGGTTTTACGCTTCTACTTCACAAAAAAATGCTTTCGTTTTCAAATAAAATTTTAAGTGTATAAAATCATACTAAATTGTGCTTTAAAGATCAAAACGATCTACGCTTTTACACTTCTCTTCACTAGATGTCTATTCATGAAATTAATCATAAAAAGTATATTTTAAAGGTAAATCGCCAACAACATGCTACATTTGAGATTAAAAGATACATAGTAGGTACTTAGATGCATTCTTGGATTCTATAGAATAATCTAATTCACCAAATAGGCCCTTCCCAAACCCATTAGCATAGAGGGGAAGGTGGCTTATGGTTAAGATATATGTTTAGGAACATATTGTTAATATGTTATGAGTTGCTCTACTTTAGACATAATTGCAGGTATTTATTAACTTATCTAAATTGTGTGCACTCATATTTTACGCAGTATATGTTGTACTTAACACATTTTAAGCTATTTTACAGTATGCGTAAAAAACTTACGCTTTTACGCATCGATTCTACGCTTTACGATTTTACCCATTTTCCGCTTCTAGGTGGAATCACGCTTTGACTAAATTGCCTCCAACACTCACTTTCATTCTTTAGTAGGAAACTATTCAAGACACACATAGTGGAACCTCAATTGATGGGAGCATCCAAGCACAAGGGTGACTCGATAATGGTGTATACACGAAGAAAGTAAGGACTGCTCTTCCAAATCTCAATCAAGCACACAAAGCACGAGCTACACAACATGAGAGTGATCCCTAGACACACAACTCAAAAGGTTTGACTAGGAGATAATGCAATTGAGACAAGTCATTTTTTGGGTAGTGGACTGATCATATGCCTCCATCTGCCTCGCAAGTTACAACGTGAATGTTACACATCATGGTAAAAGGGATCTATTACACATCTGCCTCACAAGTCTCACATGGCTACCTAGATGCTCACACATCATTCCAACTTTCAAATTTCAATTCATAGCAATTGTGGTCAATGAGTAATTGACTCACAGAAACACAACACTTCCACAATGGCCAAGTATAACCACTGCGGAAGACTGCAGTAAAGTGGGTTCAACATAAATTATCAACTCGGGTCCTAGGTATATTGTCTCCTCCATGAATGTCTATTATCTAGCGGTCAAAATTGGGTGAAAGTGATTCTAAACTAGAACAAAAACAAAGCAAGCGAATTGATCGGTTTCTAAAGCAAGAGAAGAGTCATTCAGGTATGCGCCCCCTAGCTCCTTAATACCCGGCAAACAACTATCCTTCACTTGGCTAGAATAGTAAGGCAATTCACTACTTGGAGCAAATTCTAGTGCAAAGCAGTGAATTGAATGACTCTCGCATAATCAATTCACTACAATCAATCAAGGAAGCTCTCTTAACCTAACCAGATTCTATCTAGCATAGGTTAAAGCAAGAAATCAAGAGAATATGATCAGGATTCAATTGACTCAACAAATGATGCCTCAATAAATTAAAATCAAATAGTATAACATCCAAAAGTCATTACAAGCAAGATCCCTAACACATGGAACTAGGGTTCTTCATACCCAAGTGAGAAGGAGGTTTACTCCATATATATATATATATATATATATATAGAGAGAGAGAGAGAGAGAGGAAAACCAAATCCAAAGCAGTCATACTCATGGAGATGCTTATAATCTGATCTGGGTTTTCAATCTTCACTCCTTAGGACAAAATCCAGTCTTCAATGGTGAAAAATCAGCTCCAAATACCTCCTATGTCTTGTTCTTCGTCACTTTCTCTCTCTAGAACTATGTTTTGCTCCAAAATTTCGAATCCCCTTCATTTGGCTCGAATCTGCCAATTTACCCCGAATGGGCGAAACACGGTCGAAAACGCATCGTGTTGGCTCTGCCGACCATGATTTGACCAATTCACGCGCTTCACTTAAATCCGAGATGGGGAAAAACAAAAGGGTGTCTGTACTCAAAACCCACACAGGTGGGCAGGTAGAGAATACCTAGGGGCGCGAGACAACTCTCTCTAAGGAACTCGGTAAAACAGCCTCGTAACTTCGGGAGAAGGGGTGCCTCCTCACAAAGGGGGTCGCAGTGACCAGGCTTGGGCGACTGTTTACCAAAAACACAGGTCTCCGCAAAGTCGTAAGACCATGTATGGGGACATAACCGTTTGCTTGTCCTCAAGCAAACTAAGTCAGACACAAGGTAAACTTAATTCATTTTAAGCATACAAAATTTGGGGACATAACATAGAGGAAGAAAACATGTGAATCATAATGGGTATTATACATCAACAAATGAGCAACAACAATGGAAACTGGAGAACCATCATAAATGACATTCGAGTGCAACAAAATTGGGTAGAGGAAGAGTCTACCTTCTGTCCATTAACCAACACAGACATGACTCAACAACTCATTCAAAATAGTCATTGATGCAAAGTGATTAAGACATCAGAATCAATACTGTGCAATCTAGGCCTCACCGGGATATGTGATCGATGCTTCGATCGAGCTTTAAATTTATAGTCAAAGCGCACTTACTAGTCAATCCTGCCAAGGCCAAGTATAACCAAGCTAGGGACGTAGTAAAGCGGCTCGTTCATATTCCAAGGGTCACAATATCCTAGGCTACTTAGACCCAATCATTATCTAGTCAACCTATTGTTTGGCAAGTGGGCAGTTGACGATTCCTAAACTAAAGATCAATAGAAGAAAAGAGGTACTTGGGGTAATTCCCTCTCCCTAGTCTAGGTCTACTATGTAACGTCTAGATACTTAGGGTTTATCGAATCTGGTGAGTGAGCTATTTTTTGTTGCCTTTCGTGGTTATCAACACGC